CTCTCATGGCCCATCTGCGGTGGGTCAGAGTCACGACATTACCTGCTCCCGGCCCTCTCAGTAATCCCTGGATTACAGAGTCCCCAGGCACATCTATTCTCTCATTAATCTGTGGATTAAAGTATCCCCAAGTCGGCTTTGACGCAGTGCACTACAAACAGCCGAGTTACACGCTCTCCTCGCAGTGATCCTCAGATTAGACAGAAGGAGATGTGTCTGTGGGTCCTTCCAACCCAGCTGGAGCACAGGCTCAGGGAGAGGAAGGGAGGTCTAAACATAGTACATGTATATAAATAAAAGGCATAAAGGACGGGATTGTTTCGTAATCAAAGTACTTATGTGATAAAACAACAACTTCAAGGAGGTTCCCGGATTAATTAAATCCCAATCCAGATGATCCTCAAACAGGAACTCACATCATTCGCAGCAACAAAAATACACAACAGCTCTCACCCTGAACCCAGTGCTGGGGGAAAACACCTCACTTTGTGCTTTTCTGGGAACTACACATAGATTTTTTAAAAAGTCACTGTAGCTGCCACAGAAAGCTCTTAGCAAACTGACCTGGAAAGCAAAAAAGCTTTTAGGGATCCAACACAGCACAACCTAGGCCGTAGGTTAGGTATGGCCCTGGGCTTTTTCTGAAACTCTGCCCATGCAAGGACAAGGCAGGAACATGCTCCCCGCAGACCTGGAAGGGCTGCAGGGTTGCATGGTGCAGCCCTGACCCCCACAGCCCAGGCAGGCAGATGGACGGAGGGATGGGAAAAGCCCCAGAGAACAGACATACATCCCACTACCTGAGGAAACTGGTGACCAACTGGTCAGGTTTTCATCACACGAACTGCTTCTCTCTCTCCAGAACAGAACAAAAGAGCCTGAACTTGTCCTTTGCCATATGTGGAAGCCGCTTACGCGTCCAATGGCTCCAGGGTAACCAAAGGGCCTGTCGAGGTGCCGGTGGGGAGACTTGTGAGGCCATGTCCCTGGCATCAGGGCAGAGGGGGATCAGCATCAGGGGTCCTCCCGCAGCACAATGGTGGGGTAGGATGAAAGGCAGGGTGGGAATGATGGAGAGAAGCAAGGGGGTTGCAGCTGGAAATAACTGGATTAAACTAGGAAAAAGAAATGAAGACTTAATGATAGATTTCTCAACAGTAAAATCTATTCAGTTTGGGAAACACTCCCCAAGGGGATTAAAGACTCATGGGGGCATCAGCCAGTGCCCTGGGAAAAGGGGTGCAGGGGCGGGGGGGGGCAGCTGAGCAATGGCCGAGGAGCAGCTGCAGGGCATCATGGCCTTCCCACCCAGCAAAGACGGTGTGTCCCCAAGGCCACACAGCCCAGGAGGGTCAGCCCTGTGCCCGCAGGAGAGACGCTCCCTCGGCAGATCTGTTGGGAGACAGGGACATCCCTCAGGGGGGCGCCCAGCATGGCCCCAGGACACAGCTAACCCCACAGCAGGCCCACGCCATGTCCATGGGACAAGGGTCCTCTTCCAACAGCACAACCACCCGGCCATGGGTCACCTCCCCCGGGTGAGGCCACCGCTCCTCCTCCACGCGTGCTGCTCCATGCAAACGTTTCCATGCAAAAGGTGGAGCCTGGGACAACCCGCAGCATCAGAAGAGAGTAGAGGCAGAGCTGGAGAGACCCATCTCCCCCGGGGCTAACACGGCGCTCAGCATCCCTCCTCCATCAAAGACCCTGCCCTGCAACAGGATGGGTGTCTATGGACATGAAACACCTTCATTCCTTAGGCATTGTCCCATTGGGCTGAGCAGTGACGGCCACGGCTCCTGTCCCACCCAAACCTGCTGAGCACACGGGCTTGGTCACCACTATCACTCTCATCAGGGCATGGAGCATAGGAAGGGGCATTCATGCTATTCCTCCTTTGTTTGGAGGTATTTACCCAACTATAAGCCACAAAGAGGACTTGAGAGACTTACCGAGGGGACAGCAATGCTACACGAAAAGGGTGCCACCCACAGCTTGAAGACTTCAGGAGATGGGCGTTTTGGGTCAAGCTACTGGAAATGGGCCAACCTGGCGGGGTGTGAAGGGCCCTTCAACATCTCTAGCAAGCACATCTAAAAGTGGAGGCTACTCCAATAGTCTGTTTGTATTCAAATAGTCTCAATTTGTCCTACTTTTGGCTGGGCGCTCAGCACAATTCTGAATGAAGATGGATTTATGCAGCAGAACAAACCGAGCATATTTTCTGAGCATTTTTCACGTGAGACCTGTCATTCTGGGTCAGTGCTGTGAGGTCTGAGCCAGCAAACAACCTCGCTGGCATGGCCCTGGAACCAGTTCACCCAGCTCCTTGAACTGGGCGAATTCTGTGACACCACCCCTGGGGATGTTCACTGCATCTCAGCAACTTAATATTCCCTGGCAACTAAAGTCGAATTAGCACAATGGCTGCATTTCCTTCATTAGCAGTACTTCTGAGCACCACACAAGAACAAGGCATTCAAGTGTGTGCTTTTGAAATACCATCCTCACCCCACATTTGCATAAAAATACCAGACCTATTTAAGTGACAACACTTCACTAAACCAAATTACATAACCCCATTTCTTCCCTCAGTTGACACTCCAGAGACACCTTCATTTCCAAAGCAAGTCTTCACCTTCTGAACAGGATTTGGAAGGATTATTATTTTTTTTTTTTAAACAGAAGACAGGTTACCAAGCACATCGTTTTAGGCATATGCTGCTTTCACATGCAGAAAAAAATAAAACTATCTTGCTAAATTTTTTTCCACACAAGCAAGATCTACCATTTCAAAGCACATTCAGCAGTTCCTCTAGCAGAACTACTGCACAGAGAATCTGAAGTCTTAAACAGCACGAGGTGAAGAGAAACTCCCAGCTGATACGCAGCCATTAAACACTCTCCCGTACTTCCTCCATCCCTGCCACAGTAACGGGGTTCACCCTGGCTTAGTTGGTTGCCTACTGCACAAACGCTTCTGTCCATTTCATTTCTGGAGAGATTTGATATAGTTTTCTAGCATGACACACAAGGCTCTCCTGAAAACGCCAGCATACAGCCTGGGGAAACTCACCATGGATTACTAGACGGACTGGATCTTATCACTGAAACCTCAGGTTGGAAAATCCCCAGACCTCCTGGTGTCACAGGCTGAAATCACTGCAGGCTCATCTCAACCCTCCATCCTTCCTGACTAGGAAAGCCGAGTTCTCAGCAGGTCACAACAGGGCAGCTACAGTCCCATTTTTTATTTGCTGGCTGCTGCAGCTGCCTTTTATAATGCAGCAACGGCAAATTCATCCTTCCACGGACCACAGCACAAGGCGGTGCGAGCCAGATGACTGGGAACTATGGGAGCTCAGCCCCATCCTGGCCGCACCACCCTCCTGGAAGCACCAGCTCGCGCCATCCCTCCCAGCAAGAAACATTCCTCCACCCCTGTGCTGGCAAACGGGCTGAAGCCAGCGTGGCCTCCGTGTGTCGCCTGCTGGCCAGCCCCACAGCCATGATGGTGGAGCCAGGGACACCCCGGGGTGCCACAGCACCCACAGTTCAGCTACACACAAGCAACATGAAGTTGCGTATGATCATTTTCTGTGGCTCACCAGGTATCCAATGCTTCCATTACTATATTAAGCTGAAGATTTTCTCACTAGATAACCCATCCTTTAGCCATGTGCTGGAATCATAAAATTCCTGAAGTTTGATCCTAAACTGGCTTCCTCCAGAGCCTTAGGAGAATAAAGCGGTAAGCGAAAGCCTCTTCAGCTACTAATTAAGCTATTAGTAAGTCTGTTCAGACTCTTTGGTGTAGAGTCTGTTTTCTGAAGTTTCATGTAAGGGGTCAGTGGTACCAGGAGGGTTAGGAGGGATTTGGTTTTGCTTTGCAGCAGCTGCATTTTTCCTCTCAAAGCAAGAGACCAAAAGGAGGTTGTGAGGGAGCTGCTGTGAAGTCAACATCTCTCCGGCTGTCAGGAAGGACAGCAGAGGCAGCCGGGGCTCTGTCCCCGTCCCTCCGTCGCCACCTCCGCTGGTGCAGCCTGCCTCTTTGTGGCAGGCTGCAGCGTCATGTGCAGGCTGCCGCTCACTTTCCGATGCCTGAACCGAACATGGCCACACCGTCTCCTCCGCTCCCCGAGCCATTACGGGAAATTGTGTTCAAACGCACCCATAAGCTTAGCCCGGGCTATGACATTAGCCATGTCTAACAGTTTTGGCATCTCCTCACCTCTGCAACACACGAGTCAGAATACATATTTCTTCCCACAGAGGCTTGTAGGAAAATAGCCCCGAGACAACTATTTAATTTCTGCAACAAGAATTGCACTAGTATTTGCCATGTTTCCTAACCGTACAAACACGGCTACGGTCACAGGCTACCTGCGGTAGGCACTAATGCAGTCATAAGCTGATGAGGCACATTGTGAAATCGCGCCCGCCCGCCTGCCCGCACCCCGCCGGCTCCCAGTGCGCCCAGCAGGCACCAGCAGCGCTCGGCCCCGCTCCGGGGGAAGGGGCTGCGGGCGGGCCTGGGCTCCCCCCGCTCCCGCCAGCCGCCCCAGGAGTCGGAGGAGCCCAGCGACGGGCGAAGGCGCGGGGGGCTGCCTCGGCTCCCCGGGCGCTGCTGCGGGCCGGCGGCTCTCGGCCCCGGCTGCTCCCTGCGCCCACCGAGGGACCGGCTGCGGCGGACGGGGGGAGCCGGCCCCCCGCAGCCCGGCTCGGGAGGGCGGCGGGAATCCAGCGGGGCCGGCACTGCTGAGTCACCGGAGCGGGTCAGCCGCCCGGCACAGCCCCCACGGAACCCCCGGCCCCGCCGCCGCGGGGCTACCCGGCCCGGCCCGGCCCCCGCCCCAGCGGCGGCCCCGCCAGCGAGGCCGGGGGGCGCGGGGACCCGCGGGGGACGATGCGGGCGGACGCCGGGGCCGGCGGGGGGCTGCCCCCCACCTGCTGCGGGCGGGCAGGGGCTGCCGCCCCCCGCCCCCGCGGCACTCGCTCACCTTCCGTGGCATAGCTGTGGTCTCGCAGGAAACTGCTGCTGATCTTGCGGGTCTCAACGTCCTCCTCCATTGACGGCGGGCTGGCGGGCGCGGGGCGTCAGCAGCCGCAGCCGCGGATCCATCATCCCCCCCCCGCGCCCTGCTCCGCGGCGGCCGGCCGCGAAATGCGGCGGCGGTGGGGGGGCGCAGGGGCGGCGGAGCCCGCTGGCTCCTCCCATACGGCACGGCTCGGCACGGCACGGCACGGCACGGCACGGCGCTCCGCCCGCCCCGTCGGGCACGGCGCGTCCCGGCCGCGGCGCTGCCCCTGCCCCAGCCCCGAGGGATGCTCCCGCCCGGGAAATGCTCCTGCCGGGGGGATGCTCCTGCCTGGGAAATGCTCCTGCCGGGGGGCATGCACCCGTCCCGGGATGCTCCCGCCCGGGAAATGCTCCTGCCGGGGGGGTGCTCCTGCCTGGGAAATGCTCCTGCCGGGGGGGATGCTCCCGCCCCGGGATGCTCCTGCCCGGGAAATGCTCCTGCCGGGGGCGGGGGGGGGACGCTCCCGCCCCGGGATGCTCCTGCCCGGGAAATGCTCCTGCCGCGGGATGCTCCTGCCCGGGAGTGCTCCCGCCAGGTGATGCTCTCGCCTGGGGGATGCTCCTGACCAGGGGATGCTGCTGACCCGAGGCACCCCTGCCACAGGGAAGCTCCTGCCTGAAGGAGTGATGCTCCCTGACCCACCTGCCCCAAACATAAGAACACAGCCAGGGTCTGACACCAGGTCCTTTTTCTGCCAAAAAAAAGGACCACAGCGTGTAAACGCAGGGTGTCCCGAGCCAGGGGATACAGCAAGGGCCACGGGGGTAGCCATGCCACCAGTGATAAGGAGGTGTGTGCCCATGGGCGCCTCGCCCAGGCATGGCCTGTCTCAGCTGGGGAAGGGATGCTCAGTGGTTTATGGCTGTGAAGGTCAGTGTGGTTGTGGTGATCGGTGACATCCAGGCAAGAGCGTAAGCACAGGGGCTATGGGGGAAGGGAGGGCTCTGCTTTGCAGGGCACATCTCTGAAAGGACAGGCTGTATTCTACACGTGTCATCTGGTGCACACCAAAGGGAAACAATTGCTCCTTGGGAAGGTTTTGTATCTTGACATAGTCCAGGAAGAAATAAGCCTTGGCACTGACTGAGTCACTGGTAGACACAGGAAAAAAACTCATGGGGGGAAAATTCCAGTTCTGAGAGCTCTTGCACCTGAAGCTGGAGGTAAAACCCAACTGCAGTGTCAATACACAAGACATCCTCAGCCAGGCAGCGATGTGTGTGTGCCCTGGGCAGCAGCAGCAGGGATTTGGCACGACTCCATGCTCTCACACCAGCGCTCTAACTGACCCACAATGCCCCCCCTTCCCCCTGCTCTCCTCTGCCTGGATGGCTGCTGAAGGGAAACGGGTGCACAGACACTGCCTGGGGTCCGACCTGCACCCTGCACCCTGCAGTCCAGACCTGCCTTGGCAGCACCCTCGGTAGCGGCGGAGCCCTCGCTGTGTCCAGGATCACCACCGCTGCTGGGCGCTGGCACAGGCCCCGCGGCACCTCTGCACTGTGTGCCCACCCGCCAGCACAGAGAGCCCAGCACCCCTCATGATCCCCATGGCACGGAGCTGGGGTCAGCCGCAGGAACTGTGGAGCTCAGTGCCTGCCTCAGCAGAACACAGCTCTGCCATGGCACAGGAGCTGCCTTGGCAGCCCAGTGCCACATCAGCGGGGAGCGTTATTGTTATCGGGACCAGAGGAAATAATGGATGCAGAGGGAATGGACAAAGTTGCTGGATAACACTGTAAATACAGTGGTGTGCTGCAGCTCGATTTCCTACCTATAGTATCATTATTAAGATCCCATTGGAAAGGTGCAAGATTTTACAGCCTATGTTATTATTCTGCTGAGATTGCACTGCCGCCTTGGGATCTGCTTATTTCAGGGGAAGCACAGGAGACAGCATCTCTGAGGGAGAAGGCTCAAGGACTCCAGTACGTCCAGTATGCACATCTTGTGATCAGGGCACTCCACAGCACCACAGCACCATCACACACCTTTTGGAGGAGCATGTGGATCCTCTCAGGCAAGAGGCAAGAGAGAGGGAAAGCTCCTCTGCCCTGTGTCGTGACCTTGTGAGGAAAGGTGAATTCCCAGGCTCTCAGCTGCCTGCCTCCCCAGGACGCTTTCTGACATGCTGTCACATGGAGGTTGATATAAGGCATTGTAAAACTGCACCTTGGAGAACTCTGGCACTTACTCACATGCATATGTAACTTCAAGGATTTGTCAGTCAACCGCATCACATCACACCACGGGCTATTCATTAATACGGGGATTACTAATGTGACAAGCCAGAAGCATTCATCAGACAGGCGTGAGCCTGAAGTCTCCATGCCCAAAGCCTTCACTGAATTATTCTGGAATGTGAGTTCCATGCTGTAATCACCAGGTGCATGTTTAAATTAAGCGAACACACTGTACCTGTGGCCGACACTGCTCTCGGTTGCAGGGGGCCAGATCCACAGGTTAGTCTGACTTCACTCAGTGACAAGGCACAGGACCTGACCACGGTTTCGTGGCAAAGTGCAGAGGTGTATTTACCAAAGCTCTCTCGCAGGCCAGAAAGAGTCATAGCAGCAACATCATGCTTTAAAAATAAGTTTTGTGTTGCTGGTAGCTCCTTGTACACACACTACAGTGCAGGAGACCAGACCCTAACACGGCACAGCAGGTCTCAGAACTGCTGCTGACTCTGGGCATGTCAACTGACAGCTCTGTGCTCACAGTCTCCTGTCCCCAAAGGGAAGGGAAGGGTACAGACCTCCGGCAGGAAAAGAGAGAAGGAAAAGAAAGGTTAAAACTAAACCAAAACACTACATCCAGGAATCAGATCACCTCTGCCTACAACGTGCGCTGGCCTGCAGGTGTGCACTTGTGCACACCATGTAAAACACAGGAGCAATACAGCTTAAACAATCCCAACTCCAGAAGAGAAAAATAAAGACAGATTTTTAATAAGTAAATGTTACCGTATCACATCTTCCCTTCAGATCTCAGATGGCAAGCCTCAGTCAAAAGGCAATGCCTAGCTGAATAACAAGCTCCTGCAATGCTTATGAATATTATTTAAGAAACACAAACACAAATCAGCAACCTCCTTCCCTTTCTTTTCAGCAGGCTCCATCTTCAGCGTATTTCTCTTTTTAACAAGTGCCAAGTCCTTTCTCCTCTATTAACTAGAAAACTTATTCTCCCCATTGTGCATTAATTATAATTATGTATTCATAAGTCCTGCAAAGTTTTTCAATACACCGTATCATTTAAATACATCCACAAGCCACCTGTTTGTTATGCAACACGCATAGGAGCTGCATCATGAAATCCATTTATTCCCAGCTTTTTAAAATCCAGGAACGAGCCTTTACAATAACTAAAAGCATTAGCTGTCCTAAGCAGGAATCCATTTGCAGATTAAATTCGCCAAAGGTCAGCTTGTAGCTGTGACTGTTTTCCAAACCCCCAGGTGTCTACCATGTTATATACTTTGACATCTCTTGAAGAGCCAGGACACTTTCCACTCCACCGATTTTTGCTTCAATTAGAATAGGTTTAAGAGCTCCCGTGCGCAGGTTTCTGTGGGACCTGAGCAGTGTGTTAAGAATAATTGAATCACAACCTCCGATTTTACGCTCATCACAAAACTTCCTTCACTTCATTTATTTTACCTTCACATCCATGCGCACTAAATCTATTTTTCTAATTACTGGTCTGGGTTAGAACACTGGCCTAATTTCTTCATCTGTTAAATATAACATTAGATAACAAAATTTTTTTTGAACTTGTAAGAATTATTTCTATTGATTAGCCAATCATTGCAGTGACATCACCGAGGTGCAGATGTGCTGGACAATGTCGGGAGGTCAGCCCGTGCAAAGAAGCTCTGGTGACACCACGTGCACTGAGCTCCACTGCCACCACGCAGGGGACAGAGCTGGCAGCGGCATCCCCAGGTCCCCTCCGCTCTGCCCCAACCGCCGGGCATGGGCGGATGCTGTGCCCTGCTCTGCCCTGTCACGCTGGTGAACGTCCCCCTTCTCCGGGGCGGGACGGGAGCGGCACAAGCTCCCACCCTGCAGCATCTTCGACCGCTGTTGCCACATGGAGGAAGGCGGTTTTGTGGAGCCCAAGCTGCTGAGCAGCTTCCCTGCACGCCGTGATCCGCGTTTTATGGAAATGGACACAGAGGGCACAGCAGGACGGGCCGTTCCTCCACACCACTCCTGGTGAGCACCGGAGCTGACATCACTTTGGAGAGCTGCAGATGCTCCCCCAGGAACCCGGCCCGTGGCGGGAGTGGGGCGGCTGAGAAGAGGCACTAACTATGCCTAGAGGAAATCACAACACGGATAAATATTTGTGTATGTTTGAAAGAGAAATACCATCTTTCTCGACAGTACACTTTAATGTATATGTAGATTAATTAGAATTCATTACATTCGTTGTGCCAATCATTACTTCATAAAGTAATGCAATCCTTTAGACCAGTATTGGCTTCTGAAAGGCCACTGTCACTCTGAAAACACAGCTGACTCCACACTGGTCTTTTCTTATGTGGGAACGAAGTTTTCTCCCAAGGAGTGCTTGTAGACCTACCAAGGTAAGGACACAACACAATCGGTGGCTACCACTATCTGCACTGACCAGGTCTGCATAACTTCAGTGTATGAGAGCATGCTTAACTGAAAGCCCGTCTCTGCATGGGAAGGGAAACCAGCGCTAGCACGACATCACTCTGCACCTCGCACCGAAGTCGGCACCTAATTTTTGATCTGGGTGAAGGTCATGTCATAAAATCAGTATTCTGTGAGGGAGAGCACTTAAAGCCCTTGTACAGTTTATGTCCAGATTCCAGCAGACAGAGCACTTCAAACCTGAGAAGTTAATTAAACAGCAAAAATGTGGTAATTACACTCCTATTATCCCACAAGTAATTGGTGTCAGCCAATTGGGTTGGTGGCTGGTAGGCCAGATTTAAGGGATGACCCCAGAGGGGCTGTCCCAGGGCAGAGCCCCCCTATGCTGCACACGCTGGAAGACCCACATTACAGTCTCAGACACCAGTGGGAAAACAGAAGTGACTCGGGAATTATGACCTTTTGCTGGAACGCATCACCAGTAGTAATTACACCTGTTGCC